AAATAATATGTGATTGGTCATTGAGAATGGACAAACAGGCACTTAACCTACGGGTTATTACAGAAGTAGTTTCCTTTCCTCTCACTGAATTCTTCTCTGAACTCATTGAGAATGGTTGTTTGTACTGTAATCGTGTTATGGAATGAAATATTGTCCTTTTACTTATTGTGATCTGTATTGGATATGATCTGTTATCTGTATTCGGTGAGTATTTATTCCATTCACACATCAAATCTGTGTGTGATAGTAGTATTAATAATAAGAACAACAATTTATGATGAATTAAAAGCTTCGAGATTCTACAACCGTGGGATCTTACCTGAGAATAAATCACCGTTAGTTTTTTACAAACTATTGAACCCTCATTTATCAATCAATGAAGAATTACTGTAACAAACGAAGATTCATCATCCATAGGACATACACCCAAGAAAACCATTAGTCTTCAGTAGCGTTAGAGCAGTATTCTTGATGGTTTGCGTCAGCCACTACTTTGAAATGATGGTGAAGAAAATTTATAGCTCAGGTAGCTGAATGATGATGACAGAGTTTCCTTCTCTGAGCTGGTTGGTTTAGTTTTGGAGCTTTTATCATTCCACTGAACTAAATCAATAGTATGAACTCCAGGTAGAAGTAGAGTACTCTAATTTCCTTGTTATCGATAGTAGTCGAGCAGCATGTACAGGCTTTTCAATTTATTTTTCTACCAGAGACGAAAAACTGCTGTGAAAGATAGGAAGATGATGATGCGAATGTAAATAATAGGGAAGCTCCAAATGTTCAGTGAAGCAGAACGAGGGCGTGATCTACAGCTGTTAGTTGGAGTAGGGGAATGTGTCTATCACTTCGTGATACTAGCATGAATGGTAACTGTGGTGAACTGCATTCATGGTACGTAAACAGATATTTATGTTAGTCCAGATATTAAGTGGACCATAAAAACGTGCTCTGGGAATTAGTGTGAGTCTTGGTAAATCCCTTTACAACAACGTTACTAGTTTCTCGAGACTGGTGATTGTGTCACAGATACGGATAAAATTCGATAATCCGTTTCCAAATTAACTTTATCATGTTACGAGGCAATTACAACGCAATGAATTATTGTGTTTTGCCGTCAGTAGTGTGATACGTTCAAGTTTTGCTCCTTCCCGTTATTGAAGTACAGTATGTTGATCTATTTGCAATTCACGAACCCAAATTAACAACAGAACCAAACTCCAAAGTTAGGTACCAAAGTGTGAACTGCTAGGGTAGAAAATTCATCTATAATCATATCGATCTTAGGTAAAACCGTATTATTAACCAGACAATATATCCACATAGCATATCACACTGATTTTAAGTAAACGAATGGTATGATTTGTAAGATGAGTCAGTTAATGGGTAGTTTGGAAATAGGAAGGACAGGGAGCTGGAACGAGGAGAAAGGGAGAAAAAAGAGTTGAAATAATGTTAAAAATTAATGAGTAAAGCGATAAGTTGTTAAGCAGGCAAGGTGTTTGCATGATAATGAATTGGGGAAATAAAAATTAGTTAAACTGTTAATACTTAAATAAGTAGATACTCACAATGATACACGGTATTTGAGTTCCTTGTAATTGACAGTAGTTGATCAGCATCTACAGGCTTTTCAATTTGTCTGTCTACTAGAAATCAAAACTAAAACTGCTTTGAAGATACGAAAATAATAATCGGAATTTAAATTCAGGGAATGAGAGTGAACCCTAACTTGAAGTGTCAGTAAGCGCTTGCTTTTTGCATGAAGGGATTTCGTGGGGCCGGTGTAGAATCTTTTTTGAATGTTTTTTTTTTTGGAAAATCCCTCCATGTATATATATTTGTGTTATGATATGACTGACTCTTTCTGTTGACATTTTGGTACTCTATTTGATTCCATTTTGAGATTTTATCATTGTATATTGTTATTATTTCCATATTTCGTATTTATATTGAAGTTTTTATGTTTGCTTCTGAACTGTACACATGTTATGGCTACAGCCATATTTGGATTTGATACCGTGACAGTTAATACTAGTATCACTTATTCTTTTGGATTCGGATACCCATCAGGGTAATTTGGACTTAGATGGTGTATTAATTGTCAGGTAACTGTTTGTATTTCCATTTTATTATAAAAATAGACCGCTTTCTCCTAGAATTGTTGTGTTTTGATATTGGATCGGGGGATAACGCGTTCGACCTACACCTACTGAAATCAAACTGAACTGCTATGGCAGAAAATTCGTCTATAATCATATCGATCTTAGGTAAAACCGTATTATTAACCGTAGTACGTAACGTATCCTTTAATTCATCAATCCAATCGCATTTTGAGGTGTTGAATACCTCCACGGAATGCTTATTACGCGCAATGTCACAATCCAAGTACCTTTACACCTTAGCATTTATCTCAGATTTGTCTACTGACAGTCGGTTATCGTTTTCTATTACCTTACATTCTAATTCGTGCATATCTACTTCCTCTTGAAGATCTAACATTTTAAGCTGCCTTTCTAACTCAAGTCTCCTTTCCAAATTCTTCTTCTTTAGCAATGCCTTATCTAACCTCAATCTAGAAGTACTAAACTGAGCGGAGGACTTACTATTAACACTAATATCGTCACGTTTATCATCATTAAAATCAGACATACCACAGACAGCTTAAAATCTTTATCATCCATTTAGTCATTTTCCTTCGGCTTCTTGCTTCGGGTTTCCATTGTATGCCTTTGTTCGATAATCGGTTACCAAGCAAATGTGAATTAATCCAAACGAATTCGACAATGAAACCAAACATTGGACCCAAAATGTCCAGAAGTATCCAATGTATGACAACAGAATTAAAATTGAAGAACTTTTGTTACGTCCAAGTTTTGCTCCTTCCCGTTATTGATGTACAGTATGTCGATCTATTTGCAATTCACGAACCCAAATTAACAACAGAACCAAACTCCAAAGTTAGGTACCAAAGTTTATTCGCAATTCACAAATAGTCGACCAAAATGTCGTTCTAACAACAATAATTATAATAACTACAAATACCTTCAATTTTATAGGTTCCTGGAGCAAAAACTCCCAATTAGCAAACCAAGACAAACAGAAACCAAAATCAACGAAAATGATAAATCAAACAAGTTCGTAAGTTAAGCAAAACAAATATACCCAGAAATCACAGTGAAATTAATGACATTTATATAAAGGGATCCGAATAGCTACCTACCATCTACCGCTTCCTCAGTTCTACCTGTCTTACTAGTCTATACTTACTTGGTATCAGTCTCTGTTCTAAACCTAAGGACCCCATTGTTTTTCTCAGAGAAGTCAGAACATATCATTACTAAGTCACCCTTCCATATGTTCCTCTCTAACTGTGTCCAATTGTATCTACGCTGCAACAGCGAAACATATTCCTTAGACCAACGTTTCCAAAATACTTGCGCCAAGTAACTCGCTTGCTTCCATCTCTTAGAATACCTGTCATTAGATAGTGTTAGTGAATTCTGCAACATTCTCTCTCAACAGTAATAGTTTTGCTGGTGTTATTGCATCAAGATCCTTCGAGTCATCTGCAACGGGAACCAAAGGTTGAGTGTTAATGATACGCTCCGTCTCCAAACTCCAAAGTTAGGTACCAAAGTTTTTTGCCATCAGCAGTGTATGTACGTTGTTTCTGAGTCTGTAAGCAGCATCGTGGTTTACAACTGGGCAGGATTTTACAAACGATAGGCATTATATGATTTCATAGAAGAGTATTATGTTGTTTTCCAACCGACGGCTTCAAAGAAGTTCCAGGGAAGGATATTTGCATCATTGGCTCCATCCTAGCATTTGCCGTGTGAAACGTCTCTGGATATTTTCTTCTCATATCTTGTATATGATATTCGTGTCTGGAAAATAAGTGGGGAATATTTTTAATGTAGGGGCTCATCCACATTTTGAAGAGTGCAAGTTTAGCCTCATTTGTCAAGAAGTTGTTCATTAGCCGTAAAGATTTGACGATAATAGAAAAAGCATGTTCTTCAAACTTTAGGCTTCAGGAGTAATGAATACGCAGACCACGCTGTGATAAGTGTCTAAAATTAATATAGCGGGGTTTAGGGTATGCGTATGTATACATATAACATTATAATGAGAAGCAGACCATCAGTTTTTCGTTTGGTGTGCTTGGTCACACTGATCTCATGATTATAGGTGTAAAAGATATTCAAGTTTTGATGACTCCCACATTTGTAGTCGGGAATACCAGACTCGATCGAATTCAAAACCAGGAATAGTGAAGTTCAAGGATATATTTTTAGAATAGTTTGCATGTCAATAGTTTTGTAATTTAGTAGACAATTTTCACCAACCAGGGTCTTGAAGTATTTCCCGGTTGTAGTCAGGTCAGCAATGGAGGCTACACAAAACAAAAGAAGGACAGTACCGTTTCACTATCGCGAAAACTCCTCCAACGCCAAAGTAAAATATCTAAGGAAGCGAAAGTTTACCGACTCCGTCAGGTAAAGTTTCAATTCGCATCAGTAGACTACATTTCATACAATTATCTTTCGAATTTTCTCCAACTTGATTAACCAAGGTAAAATAGTTAATCTAAATACTTAAAAACCAAAGCCAATTCTCCGAATTCAGCCACCATAAGCCTGTAATTTATTGTTTTTCAGTGCCAGTGGATATTTGAGGACGTTTGTTTGAGTGTTCCACTGAAGAAAATTTGCCGATGGCGGCGGTACATTAGGATATTCACAAGCTCGTCACTGATCCCTTGGTGTTGGTTTTCAGGTTTTCCTAGTTTAGTGTATTTTCTCTCATTGTTGTTTAATAATTACATCAATAAATGTGAGTGCATTCGCTGAATTATGGACTTATCTTACTCCTTTGCTTTTTTTTCGGCTTTCAACACTCAGGCCACTCTGCCGTCTCAACTAGTGCCAAAAGTACCTTCAAGCTAAACAAGAACCGAGAAAACTCTCTCAGGTTAAGTGTCAACTGTTTGGTCCAGAATGGTTCTTCTAAAGGGCTTTCTTTTTGTTTCAAACACTATCTGCCTAGTAATTTGGGTTGATTATCCATGCCTTAAATTTTAGCTGTGTTCTCTTGTATTAATTGGAACTGGAGTTTATGTTCATGTTAAGTGTAGCTCCTATGGTGAACACTTGCACAATCTCTGGCAGACAGCAGCTTTTGCTGCAATTGCTATAGGAGTGATCGTTCTTATGGTAAGCTTTCTGGGTTGTTGTGGGGCAATAAAAGAGAATGTTGGTATGCTGCATCTGGTAGGTTACTTTAGCTCGGTTATATTTGGTAGTATTCGTTTCTACTCGCCATACTTCTGATTGCTGAGTTATCAGTTGCCGCAGTTGCATTATTGTCCAGGAACAAGATCGATGATGAGCTTAACAAGTTGATGACTGGTGCTCTAGATAAACCGACCAAAGAGGCCATGGCATTCATGGATTCGGTTCAATCGTCAGTAAGTCATAGCTGCATTTAAATTCCTGTAGTTCCAATGTTGTGGAGTCAAAGGCCCTGAAGATTATCAGCAAGAAAAGCCGATGTCGTGTAAAAATGCGGACGAAACGTACACAGAGGTAATTCTTAGTTATTTAACCTACTAGTTGATCAAGTGTTGATTCACAAGTGTGATGTATTCAGCTGTGCTGAAGATATTATCGATGGGTTAGCGTGTTTATTTTATTAGTAAAAATATGTTACTGAAAAACTCAACCGTCGTATGGTCGGTTTTGTAAGACTTCACTCCACGTTATGTTTACGCGACTAATCATCGTGAAGGGGATTTTTATTTGTGAAACCATTTTGTCCTGTGTATATCATTCATGATGTTTCTGTGTATGTGTAGTTTCACCTAGTAGCTATAGACTTGAGGAAGTACAAGAGAACTGACAAACTAGATCAACTGATCAAAGCAAAATGTTTTTTAACCACGAGACTAGAACTCGAGCTTAACGAGTCATCACACGACTCAAAATACTCGCCAGCGAAAAGAATTTGTATGTGGAGCGTGTGTTATAGTTTGAGTGTTTCTGTGTCCTTAGATATTAGTTTGAATTGTAGACCGGGAATGTTGGTTATCTTTTGTATATTGCACTAACTAATTACTGTAGTCATTGTATTTTCATAATTGTGTACTCAGTAAATACCAGTCTTTTTCCAAACCATTTTCATTCTTTAATGAAACACAAATCATTGTCAAAAAATCTGGTCGAAAATGTTTATAAGCATTTTGTTGGATGATGCTTAAGTTCCCACTCTTCTACTGAAGAATTGTCTCACTTAGTCCTCCCATTCGTCCGAAGAAGCGCTAATTCATTTTGTAATAAGCAAAACTATCCAGTTTTCTATTTCTTTGCCTAAAAACTTGGAAAGATTTAGTGTGTTTCGTTATGTGAGGCCGTACCAAAACGTAGCACAAATCCATGAAACCATTGGCAACTGAACTGAGCCATGTCGGTAAGTGTAGACTACCAGGTTGCGTTCCGCGAGACAATAGTAATTGATGGTTAGAGATTTTGGATGACATGGCTCAAAATCATTTGTAATGGTGGAGGTTATCTCGTGACCTTGTTGCGACCACAGCTTCCAAGTAGACGATGTTTGATCTTGACCAGGTTAATTCAACCTATTAGTGACTAAGTTCTGATATGACGACGACCTACAGTTACGGACTCGTTGTGAGCATTGTTTGACTTCCCAGACTTCGTAGGCAGTCTTTAAAGCATTGACAGGTGATAGATAACACTTATTTATCACTTAAGACTAGTCTCAATGACACAAACTCATTAACTAATTCTTATATTGTATAATGACGATTTTACCTATTTTATTTTCAGGGCTGTCTGCCTATCTTTGGAACATTCCTTAAACGCAACCTAATAATTGTTGCTTGTGTCGTATTTGGTGTATGCTTCTTCCAATTATTGAGCACTATCATAGCCTGTTGTTTGGCCCGCCACATAAAGGTGAACGTGGATGTGTAATCGCTGCACACAGTACGCAGTTGTTGATAACTGTCGATTTAGTTTAGTATTTTCTTTGTGTTTCAGCGCCTGAAAATCTTGCCTCGGATACCAATCATGTTCATAACCTCACATATGATCTATCTTAGTTCTATTAAGATACAAAACTGTCGTTTTTTTCATTTTATCATTATTTTGCAGAATCAGCTGTCTTGATTTCTTAGTTTATCATTATTTACGAACTGGTGATAAATAATTTTCATTACTATATCTTAATGTGTAACCTTTAAGTAAACACACCTCTTATTTATGTAGTTTCAGATATATGTGATATGCTTTTCGCTTTGCAACTTATGCTTATTTCGTCTCTGTGATATTATTAAACATTTCCAGTACGAATGAACGACCTCGAGTTTTCTTTGTGTTCAACTGCGATGGGACGAGACCTAACAGTGTCTACACAGTTATATTAATGTATTTGACTCATTTTCCGTGTATTTTAGTTAAACGGTTGCCCATTGTGGTTCAAAATACCCCTTGTTTAGTTATTGAGTTTAGTTTGAGACTAGTAACCGTCCCCTGTAGTGTGTAATTTAAAGGATACACGATAAATATTTGATGAGTAGTTTTATGAATAGCACTAGAACTCTATATCGGATAAGTGAGGTTACTGACCTATGTTTGGTTAGCAAATATACATTCAGTCAGTCAGTCAGTCATCTGCAACGTAGAACTTCGTACGTAAGTACATCAGTTCATGATGCCATATCACATTAGCACAGAGACGCAATGTGAGTGAGACTATTTCGGAAAAGGATGGTCTTATTATCCATTCTCAATCCAGGAGACTGGACCGATTGGCAGAACACTTAAGGGATCAGTTCAACTGGCCTCTAGCCACACTTCAGTTACCCACGATTTCCAATCATCCTGAATGGCAAATGGAAGTAAGTCCTCCGACTCTTTATGAAGTAGAGAGTTAGGAAAACTGAAGCGAGGGCGAGCTATACGTCTTGATAGGCTAACTCCTGAGATTTTTAAGGATGGTGCTCCAGTTTCCGCAGCTAGACTGACTGAAAAAAAGCGGCATTTGACCCAGTGGATCGTGAGGTTCTGTGGCAGTGTCTGTCATTGAAAGGTGTACCAAAGAAGTACATCAATCTTATACAAGCTCTCTACTCGAACACCACTGGTCCGGTGAGAGCATATGGTGAACTGGCATCTGAATTCTCTACATCAAGTGTTGTCCGTTAGGTATGTCCACTCTCTCCATTCTTGTTTAACTTTGTCGTAGACATCCTCTTAGAGTTAACATTAAGCGCGTCAGATTTCTCAGGGGTTGACCTTCTACCAGGAAAGTCGCTTACTGACTTAGAATATCCCGATGACATAGTTGTATTCGGTGAAGACGCTGACAAAATGCAGAGTATCATGACTACCATAAGCAACAATGCGAGCATGTTCGGGATGCGGTTTTCCCCCTCGAAATGCAAAATGTTGCTTCAAGACTGGGTTGCATCGGCACCTGAACTAGTGATAGGGAGTGAAGTAGTCGAGCGTGTAGACCACTTTGCTTATCTGAGGAGTCTCATCAGCGCTGATAGCCTGGTGACTGACGAAATCTCAGCGCGGATACAGAAAGCTCGATTTGCTTTTGCCAGTTTACGCCGTTTATGGTGTAGGCGAGATATCCTTTCGGTAAACAAAGGACGGGTGTGCTGCGCAGCAGTTCGCTCCGTTCTCCTATATGGATGCGAAACATGGCCGTTAAGAGTATATGTTCGTAGGTTACTAGTATTCGATCATAGATGTCTTAGAAGCATTGCTCGTTTATCCTGCGACACCCGAGTGAGCAACGCTGTTATTAGGAAACGGATGCTAGGTAAGAATGGTAGATCGATAGATGAAGTGGTGAAACTTCATCAGTTGAGGTGATTGAGACATGTGTTACGTATGCCTAACCACCGACTGCCTCGACGAGCTTTGTTTTGTGGTATAGGAGTCGGTTGGAAGAAAGCAAAGGCAACCAGACCAAAACATGGCAGAGATCCATGAACTCACTGACAAGTTGACTGAGTCATGTTGGTAGATGTAGGAGGCTACGTGGTTGGGGTCCGCGAGACGAAAGTCACGAATAGTTAGAGTCCTTGAACGACATGCTCAAAATCGTTTGCAATGGGGCAAGTGCATCCAATCGTTATGCTCTCTCAAATCCTAATCTTCTGGATTGGTCAGCACCTCTACCTCTAACCTTCTCTCACTGAATCATACTGCTTGAATAATATCTTCAAACCCTTGTCTTCTTCATTTACAATTAATACCTATAGTATCTTGATCATTATGGCATTTGATTTGACATTTGCGTGGAATGGCAACCTGAACTTATGTACATATGTACGAAGTTCTACGTTGCAACTGACTGACGCAGATCCACAGCTTCATTCTTAGGCTCATTATCATTAAGTAGGACCCTAAGAGGTTTCCTCGCGGTGTCTTTCCTACGTGCAGTAAGCCTCAAACAAATACGCGCTCTCACTAGGGCATGATCTGAATCTAAACATGTGCCCCAGAACGAGCGACAGTCTTCTATCGAACACCTCCATCGGTGGCTGATGGCGATGTGATCTAGTTGCGTCCAACGTTGAGACGAATTGGGGCTCTCCAGGTCAAAAGGTGTTTTTCCTTATGCTTAAAATTAGTGTTTGCTAGAAATAGTTGGTTATCTGAGCACAGCTGCAACAGACGGTCTCGATTGTCTGTTCTTTGAGACGCGACAACATCCACCCACGTGTCTTTCTGCTCACTTAGTCTACCTACTTCAGCATTGAAGTCACCAGCCATTATAAATATATCAGAGCGCTTACCTTTTTGGAGGAGCTTCGAAAGCTTTCTGTAAAACTCTTCTTTGACCTAGTCTGAACTTCAATCAGTGGGGGCAAAGGCAGATACGACGAAGAGGCAACGACGGGTGTCACTATCTTTCCGAATCCTCACTGTCCCGTTCAGTCGGACAGCGCACAAGCAACTGTCTACTGGGAGCCGGTGAAGGAGCGCTCGTTCTGCCCTAGGACTCAATGCTATACCTACACCAGCGACACCATGGGAAGCGTCATCAGGGCTACCGGATACACGAAGAGTAAGTCGGTATGCTTCTTTATTTCGATCAGATTAATAATTTTACTAGGATCCTGTATGCGCGTTTCCGAGACGCAGCACAAATCCGCGGCACGAAATTCTAAAGTCCTAGCTAGTGATGCCTGTTGCGTTATTTGACATATTGTCAAATGGATTTGGTGAAG